GCTCATTCTTTTACTCATTGCCATACTGAGCAGTTATAACCATTAAAAAACGAATGATTAAAAAGTTAAATTTGACAATTTTTATTTTTAAAAATAATAATTTGATTATAGTTTGATAATAATTAATTTTTACTATTATTTGAATAAATAACTGGATAAAAACTATATTCTTTATAATTTCAGACAATCAACAATAGATATACATATTGCCCAAATGAGTTATGTAACTTTTATGTGGAATAATCATATTATTAATGTTATATGAATACAAATTGATAAATTAATTTCACACCAAAAACGTCTAGAACGTTTTTTAATGGTATTGATCACTTTAAAATGGCAGACATACACGTGATTGACATGATTTGGACATTGTATCGTGTAATGAGTTTAAACTATTTATTTTTGTTGTTTATAACAAACAAAACAAAATTAATAAAGCAAAAATAAATATACTAGTTAATATAATTTATTTGTAGTTTTCGACCATGCATATTGTTTAAAAACAATAATAATAATAATAAAATAATATAATCATATTTGAATAAAATAACCATTAAATAATTATAATTATATAATAAAAATATATTCTATGTTTAAGTTTAAACAATCTTACCAAATATAACACAGTTAATGAGTGAAAAGAAGCCTTATAAGTATGTTGAAAAGAAAGAAGGAAAGGGCATTCCCGCGATTGCATGTGATCACACCCGTCTGCTTTCTCGCCTTACGTTGTATCCAGAGTATTTAGAACTCTTCAGAAAATGCGAGGCAGAAGTAAATTGTTGTAACAGTCATTTCGACCAAATTAAACTTGTCATTGAAAGTCTGGGAGATGTTTCTTGGCGTCGGGGCTGGAGAGCGGATATAAAAGAGTTCTTTGGAGGTGTCAGGAGCGTGGAAAAACAGATTCGAAAGGTCGAGAACAAGAAAGGAGGAGGACTCGTTGGACGCCCAAGTCTTTTGAAAAAGGAACAGAAAGAAGAAGTCCAAAAGTTTATAGAAACTTTTCAAAAGGCGAAACAGCCAGTGGAACCTCGAGATGTTAGAGATTTTGTCAACCTGAAGCTTATTAAAGAGGGTGAGAAATCGCTAACAACAAAGCAGATGTATGAAATTGTCAAGAAAATTCCAGAGCTTGGTGTTAAAAAAGGAGAGTTGATGGAGACACCCAGAGTAATTGTGTCAAAAAACTTATCATAGAATACATCGGTGAGCTGAAAAAAAAGCAGTGGATGGGAAGCCAGCGGCGTTGGTTTATAACTTAGACGAGGTCGGGTTCGATCTTTTTGTTGATGCTCTTTCAAAGTCGGTATGTTTTTCTCATGCTTTCGGTGAGACAGTTTACACTCCAGTCGCTGGTCGTGGAGACAGGATAACCCTTTTGGGTTATATTCGAGCAGATGGGCACGCACTTGACCCCCTCATAATCACCAGCCGAGTGACTCTGGACCAAGATGTACTTGCCATTTTGTCAACTCATGCCATAATAAAGACCCAGCCGAAGGGATTTATGAATTCCTCATTGTTTCAAGAATGGGTCGAGCGTGTTCTTGTTGTTGATGTCAAGGCGTCTCAGAAGGCTCTCCACACCAAAGCGCGAGCTGTCCTCATTATGGACGGTTTTAAAGCCCATGACGCTGCAATTGAAATACTGAAGAAGAACGGCATCGATGTGTTGTACCTAAAACCACACACTTCGCATCTATGCCAACCACTGGATTTGTGTGTTTTTTCTGCCGTCAAGTCTCATTTGTCTAAAAATGAACTCCTCAAAATGGAATTTGAAAACTACATGAAAGAAAGTGGAAAACCAACAAACGAGTTGTTCGATGATCTTTTGAAAGTGAAGATTGAGTTTGCAGAATCTACAGTGGAAAAAAAAGAATCCTCTCAATCTACGATTCGTGGAAGGCAAAAGACCGTCTTGAAACAATAGTCAGTGCCTTCAAGCAATCAGGAATAGTGTTACAGTCTGCTATTTGTGACCGCAAAGTTGAAGACACGTCCGAGTCATCGAGAACATATAAAGTCTGCAAAGTCGACGTTGCTTACTCAAGATGTATAAGACTTTTTTATATGGAGATGAAATGGAAGAAATTCCGGCTCCAAAAATACAGAAAAAATTGATGTTAGAAACTGAAAAAGAAAGAAAAGCGAGGTTGGAAAAACGAAAGAAATAATTAAAGAACTTGTTTCTTTTTATCAATAATTCATGTTTTTAAACAAAATAACTAATTTTTAATATAACAATTAATAATATATTAACATTTTATCATTTAATTTTTCTCGAAATATATATTTCAATCATCATTGTAAAATTATTTTTGTTTACAAACATCAAAAATTCAATGTATAGTTTATATTCAATTGTTATTTAAGTTTAAAACGAAAACTTTCACAAATGAAAAAATCCTAAAAAGAATTTTAAATCGTGTTTTTATTTAAAAATAAAAATGTATTGATTTTGCTCTTAAAATATTATTTTTAAATTAAGATTGGTATTTCTTTATTTTTTGAAACGTAGATTGTAAAACACCAGACACTTAAATTCAAAACATGTAAAATAATGCTTTTTGAAATATTGCAAAACACCAAATTGAAACTGTTTTTTAACTTGAAAAATACAAATCAGTGTTAATTTTGAATTGTAAAAATAAACGTTTATTTACACGTGTTTAAAAATACAATATTATATATTATATATTGTATTTTAGTCATTCGGTTTTAAAATTTTATTGATTATTTTTTTAATTATTGTGAAATATTTTTAAATCACACATTTTCATGTATTTTAAATGATGATACGAAATAATTATATTTTTACAATAAATCATGTAAAAAATATTGAAAATGAAACCATTTAATATTAATTAAAAAGTAAGAGTTGAACTGTGAATGAAACTAAATAAACAAAAAAACAATCAATGTCTGTAAACGATACGGACAATAAGTTTGTCGAAAATAGCAGAATGTAAAGTTATTTTTGATTGCTTGAAGGCACCGTATATTGTTTCAAGACGGTCTTTTGCCTTCCACGAATCGTAGATTGAGAGGATTCTTTTTTCCACTGTCGATTATTATAACAGTATGACTGATTAAGAAAGTCTATTTAATGATTGTTTTTCTTGATGTTTTATTGTTATTCTATTTTTATTGTATTTAAATATAGATTATTTATATTTATCTATTATTATAAATAGTTCAAATTGTTTATATAATTAGAACGGTTTAATATTTTGTACCGTTTCTCAAAAGT